TTTCCTAGGAAAGCTGGTGTCCACCAGGTCAAATAGGAACGGGAAACCCCTCTTGCCACAACTTCACACTCACACCAGAGTTGGCAGGACAGGCCGATGGACAGAGAAGTGTCTGTAAGAGTGTTAGAAAACAGACTTTAGATTTCCGTCCACCCAGGAAAAATTACTTGCTCATCCCTTCAAACTGACCTCTAAGTAGAAGGAGGTGATCCCAAGCTGCATTCCTGACATCTATGCTGCAAAGTCATCAAACTGCGACATGTTACTGTACCAGCCTGTGATGAACAGAAACAGGACTTTGAGGTTATGCTGTTTGAGTAGAATTAAGCTCAAAGAGTTAGTCCTTTGGTATGCTTTTGTCTGCAAGTGTTTTCGCTGTTTCCCAGACAATGTCTCCAGCAAGCTGGCTGCTTGCTTCATTTGTTCTGTTCCGTTCTGTTTTGGTTTGTTTTCTCGGCAAGGGTTCTTAGAGAAATGAGATTAAAGTGATCATATTGTATGTCCATCCATCCCTCCCTCCCCTTCGCTTGTCCAGAGCTTTTACCTTGTCCACCAGCTTGAATGAACTCGGTCCTAGGTGCAGTTGTGTCCAAGCCATTCTGTTGCTAGACATGTTGTGAAAACAGACAGCTAAGTAGTGGGGAGAGGACGTGCTGCTGTCTGCAGTGTGACCTCAGCGCTTACCAAACAGTAGGGAATACACAGAGAAGGGCCGTTAGGAAAACTTCAAGCCCCAGATACATTTTATGTGGAAACCATATTTCCCAAGATAACACTGGACACAACTGCATAATCAAAATGGATTCATTTCTTGGTTCATCCTAGGAACTCCTAGGTTTTAGTTTTGAAAAGTTTCTGTCTTGGCTTAAAGCACTCTTCCAATCTCTATTTGCAGTTACTATGATTTCCTGAAATAGCTCATCCCATTTTTTTCTTTGTACAATCTCCCCGTCTCTTTGTTTTCCTCTCCCCGAGAAACTTAGAACTGCTCTCTTCATACTTGACAACTAGATATGGAGCTGTGTCAGCCAGAAGGAAGTTTCCTTCACACTTTCCGCTTCTTACGGTACCTGGACTCTTACCTTTACTCTTACTCGCCCTTCCTACATTAGCACAAAGGAAGCTGTTTTGGAGATCTGACGTCTTGTTCTCCAGAAGCTCCCCTGAATCACCCTTACGAGAGCTGTCCCACGCTGCGAGCATTAGTCTTGCAGTCTGGCCAGATATTTGCCTTCTAAGTCAATAATCAAATCTGTCAAGTTAAGAACATGTAATTAATGGAAAGGAAATCCTTTTATTTTGATCCCAATTCCCTTTTTTTTTTAATTTCTTTTTTTTTTTTCTTTTTTTTTTTCTAGACCACGAGTGAATCGTGGGAAACCAGCAAAACTCAGGTGAAAAATGGAATGAACAATGTTAAGGTCAGGCAGCTTGCCCACTGCGATTGCTACCCTGAAAGCAGATGGAGTGCATCTTCATACACCACAGCCTGAGACACTACTCGACAGGCCAGCCCATGTGATGAAGTCCATTGCTGTCCTGAATTTTAACATGACAGGGGGACTCTTAAGCCTCTTGTTTATGCTTTAGTACTTGCGGTCTATGGGAGGACCACAGCACACTCTCTCTGTCTACCCTTATTTGTTGATCGTCCTGTAGGAAGAAGAGAACGTGCAGAGGCCCTCCCCCGTACATTGGGTCTGTTCTCACTCTGTGCAGCTCCATCATTGAGCAAAGTACCAAACTTGATGCTTCTCTAAGGGCTTTACACAAACTACAGAATACTAAAATGAAACATTCACAACAAAACCACACTGTTTTCCCCAGCCAAGCATCAAAACACTTACAGAAGGGCATGGGCCCTCTCTGTGCACCTCGAGGTGAGATCCACAAATCCTCACGTGGTTTCAACACATCCAGCACCCTTCTCTGTCCCTCCCGGCTAAACGTGCCCAGAGGCAGCTGTTCCCAAAGTGCTGTGGTGACATAATTCCCTTCTGTTTCTGAAGTCATCACCGCAGGCGCCTCCCAGTGACGGCACAACACTCTCTGTTGCTAACGCGTCTGTCTCCGAAACAGCTAGAGAAGTACCACTATGCCCAAACTGACTTGAATTAGGGTAGTTCAAAAATTATTCCCTGCTCCCCTACATCTGTGGAAGGTGTGTGATCAATCTTTTCCTTGAGAAAGGACTACAGACCAAAAGAGCTTGATTCTGAGACGTTGCCCGTACTTGTAGAGCAGTTCACCTTTGATTTCCATGTAAGAAAAAAGAAGGTGAAATCAACAATTCCCTTCCTCTGATTTGGGAATAGGAAAGAACCCCAATTCTCCAGGAAGCCTTAAAAAGGAAACTCTGCATTTCTTTGTTAAACACCTTGTTTGATTTCTTTAAAGAAATCTTTCCCAGGACTTTGCAACTGCGGTGGTCTGAATCGGGTGGGCAGCCGAGTTCCACCACAACCGCTCTCTCACTCCCCCTCCTCAAGGGAAAGGGGGAGAAAATACGATGCAAAGGGCTCAAGGGCTGAGATAAGGACGGGGAGATCGCTCAACAATTATCGTGACGGGCAAAGCAGACTCAGCATAGGGAGACAGTAAGAGTTATTGCCTACTACCAACAAACTAGACACGTGAGAAACAAAGGAAAGAAACCCAAAACGTCTTCTCCCCATCTGCCCTCTTCCACCTCCTCCTCCTGAGCAGCGCAGGGAAACAGGGGACTGAGGGCTGCGGTCAGTCCCTGATGCTTTGTCCCCGCCGCTCCTTCTCGCTCCCTCCCTGCCCCTGCTCCCCGCTCCCCGTGGGGTCCCTCCCACGGGATGCCGTCCTTCCCCAGCTGATCCCACACGGGCTGCCCACAGGCAGCAGCTCCTCAAGCACTGCTCCCACACGGCTCCGTCCCACGGGCTCCATCCATCCATCCATCCATCCCCCAGGAGCAAACTGCTCCAGCACGGGTCCCCCACGGCTGGGCGGCAGCTCCCCCCAGACCCCCTGCTCCTGCGGGGGCTCCTCTCCACGGGGGGGCTGCAGCTGCGGCCCGGGGCCTGCTCCTGCCCTGCGGGGGCTCTCCATGGGCCGCAGCCTCCTCCAGGCCACATCCACCTGCTCCACCGGGGGCTCCTCCACCCACGGGGGGGCTGCAGCGTGGAGATCTGCTCCATGGGGGACCCGTGGGCTGCAGGGGGACAGCCTGCTCCACCGGGGGCCTCTCCCTGCACAGCCCGCAGGGGAACTGCTGCTGCCTGCCTGGAGCACCTCCTGCCCTCCTGCTGCACTCACCTGGGGGGATGCAGGGCTGCTTCTCCTCTCTTTCTCCCTGTGAAGCAGCTTTTTTTTGTTATTTTTGTTCTCCTTTCTTCAATATGCTCTCACAGAGGAACATGCAACATCGTTTCTTGGCTTGGCTCTGGCCAGCAGTGGAGCCGTTATCTAACGTGGGGCAGCTTCTAGATCCTCCTCACAGAAGCCACCCCTGTGGCCCCCTGCTACCAAAAC